GAGAGAGAGAGAGAGAGAGAGAGAGAGAGGGGAGAGAGAGAGAGAGAGAGAGAGAGAGAGAGAGGGGAGAGAGAGAGAGAGGGCGATAGAAAGAGAGAGTGAGAGTGAGACTTTGACAGCACTCATGGATGTATGATAAGCTCTATCCCTGCCTGTCACATGATCTCTCAAGGCATGAATAATTTGTATCCGTTTTTGTATTGTTTTAAGTTCCGAGGGAAGTAATATTATTGCGAATTTTCATTCGGAATGTACCGCGGCTGGGTTCTTGGAAAGTTCTTAATGGCCTACTAGTAGTGAAGCTCATAGGGTCTATGTCCCCCAGGGTACTGTCGGAACGTACCCTGGGTACGATCCGGTATACCGGAACGTACCCTGGTCACTATTTGATATGGTTAGGGTGAGGATTAGGGTTAGGGTTATGATTAGGGTTAGGGTTCGGGTTCTGGTTAGGGAGTAGGCATAGGTGACTCCCTAGCCTCGTTAGTGGAGTAGGCGAGGTACGGTCCAGCATATTAGATAGTACCAGGGTACGTTCCGGTATACCCCACCGTACCCAGGGTACGTTCCGGCAGTACCCCGGGGGACATAGACCCTCTCAGCAGTAGTGAACGATTAGATTGTTCAGCTCTAATAGTTTCACAATAAGCAGCAGTGGCACTTAAAAAAGAACGTTTAGCGGTGATGCATGCATGGGCTATATGCATGCCGCAGATGATAGGGCCCCCTAAATACACAGATTCCCTGCCTCCGCCATCTCTTCCCGTCTCGCATCCCCGTTCCCTGATTTTATCAGCTCTCCTGCTCACAGGTCCCTCTAATCCCCAGCCGTTACACGGCCAACTAATAGAGCAATGCGACGATATTGAATCATTGACGAAAACTTGCATTAATTTCTTTAGATATCAGGTTTTTTATTTAATTTCTCTAACTATGAGATCATTAATTAAATTTCTGAACACACGCTGCTAGATTTTAAACCCATTAGATCATTAATATCTCTATGAATTGGAGCCATGATTTCTCTATACTTCTAGGGCATTCGTTTCCTTATATATTAAATCTTTAGTTTCTCCCTAAATGCGAGCATTGCTTTCTCTATACATCGCGCTGGCCCCAATCGCCTCCGTGTACAACAGCTGCCTTTACCTGGATACGAACGTGGTATAGACACACGAAGCCAGACACTAGCGGCGTTATCGGCAAGGCGTGTCAATATCTGTTCATATAATTGCTGGTTTATCCATATAGATCGAGAGCGGGACCGGTTGCTACAGGCTGTCGATTCTCTACGTTGGTTTTCTCTGGCTCGCCCGCTATACTCGGAGTCGGTTCGTCGAACGGCCATGTTGAATAACACATTAATCAAGTAAAATGACGCATGAGTCAAAAATTATCAAACACGTTTGATATTGAGTAAAATGACGCATGCGTCAAATTACTCAACGAAAATCCACCGCACACGTGAGTAAAATGACGCATGCGTCAAATTACTCAACGAAAATCCACCGCACACGTGAGTAAAATGACTCATGCGTCATTTTACTTGAGTAAAATTACTCACGTGTGCGCCGGGCTTTAACAAACAGAAAGCTGCTGATGGCTGGACGAAGAGAAAGGGGGCTTTGTAACACTTCCGCACCGCAGCGGCGATTGCACAAGCTCGTGGAAAAATAATCTCTGCGATTAGGAAATTGCGCGTAATACGCCGCAACGCGTACGCTTCCCGATGCTTCCAAAACAACTGTTACAAAAGCCGCAATATCTGCAAATTGCCGAGAGCGAATCGCACAAAATGCAACATCTAACTATAGTCAAATAAAGAGCGTATTAGGTTAGGATGTATATGGACGTAATGGAAGCTATGGAGAAGTTATAGACCGGAATAGTCGGGTATACTTTGGCAAAATAACACGCTAACGAAGTATGTAAAACAGCAGTATTACGGCTAAGGAATGAAAAGAACGTGAATAACTTTTCTTTCTAATCGGCCGTCTCTCTCGCCTGTGCCACCATTTACGTTGTTCATTGAAACGATTTCTACACGAGAAATTTCTGCTCACGCGACTCGGAAGATTATTTAATAAACTCACGCCACGTAAATACGGAAGGCGACGATTAAGTGAAAAAAGGAGATAGTAATCAAAGAAGGAATAATTCGCGCTGCCCTCAAACATCCATCGAATGTACTATAGTAGACGCACGTACACACACATATACTACTTATACGCATTCACGCGCACACGCACCCGCACACGCACACGCACACGCACGCACACGCACACACACACACACACACACGCACGCACGCACACACACGCACGCACGCACAAACACACACACACGCGCGCGCGCGCGCACGTACACACGCTCACACGCGCGCACGCACGTACGCTCACACGCACGCACACACGCACGCGCGCACAGGTTAACAGTCGGCTCGTACTTGGGCAGTTGAGGCTGGTCTTGCTCGTGCGTATGTGCGTCGGCATGGTCATCGGGGCAGTCACTGAGTGCGATTCTACGTTTGTCCGTCCTTGTAGAACACTCGGTGCCGAATCGTGCAGTAGAGACGGGCGGCACGGACCTTAAATCGGGACCAAGCCGAAATCGGTCATCTATCCAAATCGGACAACAAACGTTCCGTCTAAGCATTCTGCTACCGAACCGCTGTAGCGTCGCAACGTAGACATGCGCGCAGCTTTGTATTTTTTGTATATATAATATGTTTTTTTTGCCGACCAGAAAATCGCGCCTGACCACTCGCATATTTCGCTCTGGCCAGTCTCGTCTCGTTTACCACGCGCTATGGGTTTAATATTCTTTTAATAAATTTGAAGATGCAATAGAAGAATAGATGCAATTGAGAAATGCAATAGATTTTAATCACAAGAAGTGTAATATTTGAGGATGTTTGACCACGTGGAGGGACGGTTCGCTTTCATTTTCAGACGGCTAAGGATAGAATTTAAAGC